TTTTTTTGTCACTCTGTCACTATTTGCATTCACTGTTTGATGCGTAGATTTCACTATATCATTTTCTGTTGAAATAATAATATATCATGTTAGTGAAGTCCACATGTCAAATAGTGAATGCAGAGAGTGACAAAAAGAGACAATATAAGGAATTAAGAAAGCGAATGTCAATTCTTAGATTCTCTTTAGTATTGATTTCTTGTCAAAGGGAATGAATACCTAATTAATTACTTAGCTACCCTTAATGAATTACTATATAGTTAATGATTATTTAATTATGTAAAAGGACTTTTTAGTGGTTACATTGATAATATTGTTATTCTTAATATTAGTAAACACTTAAAAAAAGAATGAGATTGTTTCCATTACACCATCTAATTGTCAAGTAAACACTTCAAAATGAGTCAATAATTCTTAATCATATCACTTTACTTTCTTTCTAAAATTAATAATGAGAGTTTTATTGGCCCCACACATTATATAGAGGATGAGAAAAGTGAATATCAATTCTTGCATCTTCATAGTATTGATTTCCTTTCGACGTCAAATTTACTTAAATGTCTAAATTCAAACGTTATAATTCAATGGTTACTTAATTATGTAAAAGGATATATTAGTAACTGTATTGACAAGATGGCCATCCCTAAGTTTAGTAAACACTAAAAAAAAAAAAAGAGAATAAAATTGTTTTCTATTACTCTATCAAATAGATAAATAAACACTAAAAAGTGAATGAATAATCCCCATTACTATTCCTTTACTTTTCTACTCTATAATTTCTGTTAAAACTTTTTTGTTTATACTAATGAACCAAAGGGCCCCAGAGGTACTCAGTAAAGCGAATATTCAAGAGATCCCTTCCTACTCTATAAATTTCTTTCGGCTATCCACCACGTAGTGTAATGATGAGATGAGATTCACAGCTTCGTCGCTGCCTTTTCGTCCGTGAATAGTGCGAAATAGATAGAATAGATTAGAACAATTAGTGACCCTTTTATCCCCAGACCCTTAAACTTTTAAGCCCAATATTACAACCTCTTCTCCTAGTTATTATGACAACCTTAGGGTGGCGGACTTTGTTGATATGGAAAAAAGGTGGGATTGAAAGGCATACCAATTAGCTTGTCCAACCATCCAGACAATCTCATTTGGAATTGTGGTGAACTGAGGTTATAATGAGGTAAATTCTTAGATTAAGATCTTGTGGAAAGCATTCACTAATTTCACCCCTCTTCCGTGAACCCGTCTTGGGAAGTTGATCTCGATCGTTGGAGGTGTGTAATCACTGCGACAGTGATTTTGAGACACTCGCTCATGCATGATGCGCTTTAGTTTTACTAGGGGATCAGGGAGGCCCTCTTGTCGCCCTTCCGTGAACCCGTCTTGGGAAGTTGATCTCGATCGTTGGAGGTGTGTACTCACTGCGACAGTGATTTTGAGACACTCGCTCATGCATGATGCGCTTTAGTTTTACTAGGGGATCAGGGAGGCCCTCTTGTCGCATGCATTTGGTTCGTAATTTTCCTTCTTCTTTTTTTTCTTTTTTTTTTTTTTTTTTCTAAATCTTGTCTGAAAGCAATAAAGAAGAGTTTATTAGGATCAATTTATTTCTATAGGCTGTGTGGAATGTCAGAAACAGGCTTATTCGGAAGCTCACGCCATTGTTTAGCATGAATTAAGCCGTGCCAAGCTACCAATCTCCGACCCCTCAGGTTGTCGTTGCCTGCCCTTGCTCTTGGCTAGCCTCGTATCTAGCCATGGATATGGGCTACTAGGGTTGGTCAAAGACCCCTTGAGTTTGGATTCTTGCATTCTCCTACTTTCCAGGTCATGTAGAAGTTATGGTGGGGGATCATCGTTAGTGTCAAGTTGGGGCTTCTTTCCTGGCAATTAGGTTGCCGCTTGATTTGGCTCATGAGAACCAGTTGATCAACGGGATTGTCGTCGAAATGGTGACACGGCCATTATTGCTGTCTCTGCCATTGTTGCGTGTGCCCCGTTCTCTGCTTCTCAGCTTATTGTCGATGATGTTATTAATACAATTGATGGAATAAAGAAGGGCGATCATTAACTTATATAAAGTTCTATGATCTATGCTTAACCAAGTTTAAATTATAAAAAAAAAAAGGGTGTACTTGCACTGATTTGATCAACTCTTGAACTTTAAGCTTAGTAGGAGGAGAAAAGGAGATATTATATAGAAAGACAAATTAATAATTCAATGACACAGATGAGGAAAATGGGAGGGAATTAATGGGCTATTACTATGCCATTTTGCATGAAGAGAGAAAGCCACAAATATAAATTAAACACATTTAATTTGTTAAGTACTGATTACTCTATATATAGTTAACCTTATATTCTTAGTTAATTTGTTAGTGTCCTCATGAGAGGAATAACGTAACTTGATATCATTATGCAATTAAATCAAATCCAATTATCTCTCAATATCAAAAGGGATGTACATTCCCTTCTAGAATATTCCTTCTTCCCAAACAACCATCGGTGGCTAGCACTGCTTTCTACTTTTCTCGTCCTAATCCCTTTTTCTACTTTTCACTCCTGCCGAACGAGCTCTACAAGTTTCTAGTACGCAAATAGATTTCAAAGATTCAAAATAAGCAAATAAAAATATCATAATCAGTTATTTAGAAGGAGATTTGATGCCAAAATTTACAATATACGGTTTAATAAATCCTTGCACTGCACACTATTACGCTCTAATTAGTACGCCAAATATTAATCCTTGAACTCTCTTTTATGATCATTATCTGATAAAATCCATCCAAAAGCAAAAGTACTGAATATCGAAGCCATCTTAACAATTCTAGGGCAAGAACATTATTCCTCCTATTAGAGTACAAAACACTATAATGGGACAGAATCTGTGAATAATTTGCAAGCCACTGAACCGACTTAGTTAGCACATAGTTGAAGCCTAGTAGGTCTGAAGATAAACCGTAATTCGGGAACCAAAACGCTAGCTAGTTATCGTACAGTTTCAGAAGATTGTATAAAACTGGTCTGATCAAATGGTTTCGTCATGATAATATATGCAGGTATAGCAGGAAAAAGATGCCCAAAAAAATACTCTCAAAACTACTATAGATCCTCAACTATCCTAATTTCTTATGAGCGTTTGTTTTAGAGGTACGAATAATTGTTCCAACCTTTTTATTATAACGTTTTTTTCCTCACAAAATTTAAATTTCTATTCAAAATTTTCTGTTTAAACCTATGAAACAAACATACATTCATATTTCTCACCTTATTCTACCAATATATAAGTTCCTTCAAGGAGGAAAAATGAAAGAAAGAAAGGAATACTACATAAATTTTTAAGGCAATGTTAGAATCAGTTCTAACAAAGGCACATAATTCTCTGATGCTCTAAATTGGAAATTGCATGCATATGATCAGCTTATACAATACAAAAAGCTAAATTGGAAATTGCATCCATATGAGCTTATACAATACAAAAAGCTGTGTATAACGAGTCATTTTGATGGAAAGTATATAAGTTCCACAAACAAGATTACACGGTAGACATATATTTATCATTCCATAATTGTTAAGCACAATATCGATCGCATAACTATTATTTGATTAATTCCGTAGAATATCTTCCCGAAAATGTCGTCATAAAAATAAAATATTTGAATAATGTTATGAATATACCCTTGAATAAGAATAAGCCGGAATGAAAGGTAAAGGAGTTAATTAAAGTGCCAGCCAAATTTTGATAATTAAAATGGTGTCTACAATCACGTCACGACACATCATCTAAAAATAATTTGAAACATTTATGATAACTTTTCATGCTTTAATATTTGAGTTCATTAGATGATAAAAGAAAAACTTAAATTATACACTAGGGACAATAAATTGAACACCTGAATCCAAAGAGGAGTCAAAATTGTATTGAAACTGTTAATTAATATCACATAAAGAGAGTTATAACTCTTAATGACTACATTAGTTCCTTACCATTTCCAGAGACTCGGAGTAGTCATAGATCCCCTCTCTCTCTCTCTCTCTCTCTCTGAGCACTCGATCGGCGACATGGAAATGATCTCTTGATCTAATAAACAAAATGGGATAAAATAGAACATGTTTACATTAATCATATACGAAGAGTGATATGTATTAATTCTTCATCATAAAGAAAAAAGAAAAAAGAAATAAATACTCGGTCTTTTTGAGAAGGAAATTAAATTCAGTTCTAAATTAACGATCAGAAGTAATAATTGGAAATCAACACCCAAAACTTCAAGGCCTGCCATATTGCATGTTTAGAGAAAGAGGTAAGAAGACATAGAGTGCATCATCTGAATTTTCACCCCTTACTCCTATTAAAATCCTTTAAAAAGAAGAACAAACATAATCTTTACGTTATATATATTTGAAGATAAAAAAAAAGAACATAATTATTAACCAAAAATCTGCCTAATTTCTCGAAGCAATATCCAATCTTAGGCCTCGTTCAGTTTTCCTATTCAAGTTAGGATGTGACTTTTTGTAAGAATTTTTATTGTAACAAAGAAATTTAGATATGACTTTTTAAGAGAGCTTTTTACCGTAACAAATTGAAATTGAAAACTTAAATAGGAGAATTGGATGAGGCCTAGATAATTTATAACAAATGTGTACTAAAATAAAAAATAAAAAACGTTTGGATCCATTGCAAAACTTCACATAATAAATCGAAATCTTTGTTACCTTAAAAGGGACCTTATGCCCTGAGATCTCTTTCACACACGCAAGATAATCTAGGTACTTCACCTTTGAGGCTTGCTGTCTCTCAATCTGGTAATCTTTTTTCAAATAAGAGAATTCCAAAACCCAACAATAATCTAATTAATTCATATACTTGTACTGGATTTTCAACTGAGAGTTGAGAAAAACTCCTTCCAGAAGTTGCATGCAAAGCCGATATATATATGAATTGAAAAATTCATTAATATTGAATAAACCCTGTAAAACCCTAATCTACTGAATCATCAATCAGATCCTCTGAAATCAAACGCCAGGGGATCGCCGTAGTCCCAAATACTCGGCGGGCACTCCACGTCATCTATCAACGGCCACATCATCGGCGACACTGGTCCCACCGCCCCGATCGGATCCGGGACCACCGGTGTAACCATCGCCTGCGTGCACAACGACAAGCTCGAGTCCACCGCCCCCACCAAACTACTCACTTGATCATCATGATGATGACTATGATGATCAACATTATACCTGCAATCCTGAACCGTCAGATCATCGCGACGGGCCTGCTGATGATGCTGTGCTTGATCATGTAACAATTGGCCATACTGATGATGATGATTATCATCCACACCACAAGGGTCGACATAACTCGGAAAGTACGAGGTTGTCGCCGTAATAGTAGTAGTAGTAGTACAAGAAGTAGTGGGGTCACCAGCAAAACTCACCATCCCCTCACACACTACCGGATTATGATACGGAATAATATTATACTGTTGCACTTGCACTGGATTGTTATGCACTACCGTACCGACAGTAGTACTAGGATGAACATAACCGCACGGCACGAATCCTGGGGAGGAGGCGAGGAACGGGAGGGCGGAGGCGGCGGCGGCGGCGACGGAAGAGGAGTAAGTAGCGGTGAGGCCGAAGCCGGAGGGGCGAGGGAGAAGAGGACGGAGGGTTTGGGCGGAGGAGGAGGAGGAAGAAGAAGAGGACGTGCCGCGAGAGGACGATTGAGAAGAGGAACCGCCGGAGGGCTGGAGATTGAGCTGAGCTCTGGAGCCGTAGAGGATTATGGCGGCGCGGTCGTATGCGCGAGCGGCGTCCTCGGCGGTGGCGAAAGTTCCAAGCCACTTGCGCGTCCTTTTCCGAGGCTCGCGGATCTCCGCCACCCATTTGCCCCAGCTCCGCTGCCGGACGCCGCGGTAACGGAACTTGCTGTTGTCGGGGCCGCCTTTGCCTTTGCCTTTTCTTCCGGCGGTTTTGGTGGGGGAGGATGGATTTTTGGGTTGGTTTTGATTATCAGTGGAATCAGTTTTATCATTGTTTTGGTGTTGGTGATTGTGATCAGATGCGTCGTCCATAGGGACAAGTGTAGGTGGAACTTTAAAGGTCAAAAAAATGTGCGAATGTGTGTGGTTGGGAAAGAGGGACGACACGCCGTGGCCTCGTTCAGTGTTTTTTTCTCTATTGAGTAGTCATGAAATGGAGAAAGGGTAGAGGTTGATTTTGAATGGCGTTCTTTGTCTAATGGTTGAGGAGGGCGGTGGATTCTCTTTATATATATTTTGCTTTTACTCAGAGAGAGAGAGATTGCTGTCCACTGAAGAAACAGGCCTCGCTCAGCCAGTGCATATTGCTGGGGTTTTGGAATTTGGAACATTAAAATTCACTTATTTTTGGACTTTTAATTTATAATAATTATTATTGGGTTGCTTTTTGCAGAGATTTTGAATGCTTTCTTTCGGGTAATTTCTATGTAACCTGAATAACTTCTTCGGGTCAAAAAGAAAAAAAGCTTTCATACTGTGTTTTTAACTTTCCTTTTTAACTCCAAGAGATTGAAGGAACCCTTATTCATTTGTTCATTTGTATAACTACAATGGTAACATTTTTCGTGTTCCAAATAAAATTTTAACGTGACAAATATATATACATGCTGACACTTTTTAATAATCTGCGGTTGAAACTTAAAACATAAAAGGACGTTGAAGTATAGACAAGCTGACACACTTGATCCCTGCAATGTTGGCATACAGAAGGTCGCACACATATTTATAGCACGAAGTATTGTCAGCGGTTGATATTACCAAAAATTGAAGTATAGACAAGCTGACACACTTGATCCCTGCAATGTTGGCATACAAAAGGTCGCACACATATTTACAGCACGAAGTATTGTCAGCGGTTGATATTACCAAAGAAAAAAGAACGTCAACATAGCAAGGTAAGGGATTTTTCCTTTTTGGATTGGAGAAAGTTGTATATTGGGAGGATCCGACTGTTTGGTGTTTTCCATTTATATGCAAAATGAACTAGTTTAAATTATATTATTATTCATTGGGTTGGTGCAATAATTTCGGCGCCCCCTGCAGCCAGAAAACCAAGATGCCTCTCCACTACTCTGTGGCCGCTTCTTTGGTTCTTTATTGATAGGATCACTTCACTTCTCAAACAGCTTGCTTCATCAAGAAGCTACGTGATCCCTTGCAGGCACAAAGCTATATATCATCCAAATTAATCTTTTACACATAACATAGCCTTCTCAATTAGCATAAAAAAGGAAAGACCTGTCTTGTAGGAAATGCTGTTTCTGTGTATTGGTATTTGAAGAATGTTTATTGCGTTTCTAAAATGTGGCTAGCTACCCTTTCTGTGGGCACGTTTTACATTTTTAGAATCAATCATTGACCTTTTCCAGCTATATAGGGACTAGGGATGTTTTTAATTTGATAAAGGGTTATTATAATTTTGTTAGTCCTTAGATTTTGAGTGTCCTGATATTTTTGATATGTTATTCTTTAAACCTTTATTTTTTTACAGTTTTGATTTTTTTGACTAAAATTGACTAGAGTATTTTTTTGGGTTTGGACGTATATAGCTAGGTTGGTGGTGTTCGAGATTCGACCATATTGAAACGTACACTACTTTGAAAACGCACTACATATATGTTTTTCATTTTCATACGGAGATGTTGCATTTTTATCTCTTTCTTTTCGTTTAATATTTCATCTTCGCTTGTTACGAGGGGTGAAAGTCCAGTAGGTGGGTTGGTGTGTATCAGGCAGTTTGGGTTTGGGAACGCCAATGTGAACTTGAACCGCTGGTTCGGTTCAAGGGCGGGCTGCCGGGTTGTTTGTTTGACTACGACAGTATAAAAGGCATAAAAATCAAACTCGTTTGACCAAATTGAAGATTTTTAGATACATATATATATACACACGTTAACATATATGGCATATAAAGAAATTAAGAAAAGCGATTAATTAAGAAGAGCATGAATGCGTATATCAAAATAACATCGGGAACAGAAACGAGAGAGTTCATTTCTTAATGTTTATCTTTACTTTTTCTCCCATTTTCATAATTCTTTTATTTGATTAAAATCATAATAGTGTGTAGTTGAACGATAATTTACTCGTGTATATAAAGAGATATCTTCAATATCTAATTGATGATAAAGTTATTATATGTGTAACATTTGTAAGGTAGAAAACCGTCAAAAAGTCGTAATACATTTAAAAACGGTGATTATAATGAGTTTTTCATTTGTAATTATTAGCTCCCCAAATAAAAATTCCAGACTTCCGCAATAACTTAAATCCAAAAGAGTAAACAATGAGCATGAAGAATATCACAAATAATCATGTGCATAGTTTTATTAAGGGCCCTTGTTTTTAGTAATAGGGCACGTTATTTATCCAAAGTAAATAAAGGTAACTACTGTAACACATAATTTGAAAGAAAAACTTGAGTTGCATACTTTGATCTTGAACCTTTCATCGCAAGACGATTGCTCCAAAGACAGGAAAAGGATAATATATAAAAGCGGTTGGCTGCACTGCAATCATCGAAGGAATTTGAAGTGGTTGATATATATATATATATATATTACAAATAGGGATCAATTGATATTGTTTCCAACTTGCTTCATGTGTTTCGAATTTCTCTCATAAAAAGACAGACTAGATGATTTATTTTTTGATAGCCTGGACAATTTACCGTCGCTTTTGCGATTACATACACACAACTGTGCATAAAAAGACAAAAGGTACTTTGTTTTAAATTTTATACTATTCTCTTCACATTATTATATCTTCAAATTTAGAAATTGTATATATATTCTTGACAAAATAATTAAGAAAAAAAAGGGAATAGCCTGTGTAATTGAATAATTTAAACCGATTACCTTATTTAATTTGATAATTTGCTTCCTCAACTTACAAAACTGTTATGAATATATATGTTTATATATTTTAATTAGAACTTACAAAATTGTTGTGTATGTGCTCATTTATCAATTAATTTTATGTTAATGTTCCGTCGAACGTGTTTTCCATTACTAATTTTACCTGATTATCTTCAAAATAGGACATATTAAAATAATTTTATAAATTAAGGGAATAAATTTTCAAAATTAAAAATTCAAGAGTTAAATTATCTAAACCCCACCAATTCGGGAATAAATAAGCATTAAGCAAAGTAGTACTTTTTATTTAAACTAAAAAGGAAAAACCAAGTAACCATCTTTAACAAGGAGACTTATCATTTGGGTATATTATTATAATTAGGTACATATAACCTTTTCTTTTTTTTTTTTTTTTTTGCTGTAAAGATGTACATGTAAGATTTGCCCTAATGTGTGAGAGAATTGCATGCAGAAATGACGTGGCTGGACAGATGAGGAGCCACAGAGTCAAGTCCACGAGAGTTGTTTGAAGCAGTAGTACAACTGATCAGCATGTGAGGGCCAGCACAGTAGTACGCCTCGGGAATCGAAATCACAACAAGAAAACAGGCCAGTGGGAACCCCATTTTAGACCCAAGAAATAAAAATTAGATCAGACAATTTCTGATACATTATAACAAACGCTCGACCGATCTGATGGCAAAAATTAGGTGCACTTTTTGCTGTTCTCTGTCTCCCATTTTGGATTTGGGAGAGTGAGCTTGTAAGGTTGGAGGGGAGCTGTTCCAATTAGAAACCACCCTCAACACATTATTATATATTTCTTATTTTTTTATTTTATTTTATTTTTTTTAACTATATATTGAGTAAAAATTTAAGCTCCATTCATTTCACCGATTTGAGTTTAGAATTTAAATTTTGTTAAGTAAAAAACTCTCAGAAACAGTTACATCAAACTTTTTTATTACAGTAAAAAAGTTTCACATAAAGTCACATCTCAATTTAAATTAAAAATTTGAATCAGCGAACTAAACGGACTGTTAATGTTCATGTGATTGCTAACTCTATTTTCCCCTTTCTCTGTGTATAATACTTGGCTCTTTTTTCTTTTGTTCGCCGTTTAAACTAATATATGAGGTGATGAATAATAACCTGACTACATCGGACGTACATATAGAAGTGGGGAAGATATTCAATAATAAAAAATAAAAAATAAAAAGAAAAAAGAAGTGGGACAGATTATTGCGGAAGGCTGTAAGAAACTTGAGTACGAGTCGGTCGATATTGTAGGACGTGCATGCACATGATATTGTTGCATATAGAATGATGAAGCCTTTTTTGGGAGTAAAGGGGCTAGCCAACTTTATAGTATAAGAAAATCTTTAGGGATTTTGGGGGTGACCCTTGATGATAAAAGATAGGTAATTGCAAAATTCTTATATATATATATATATATGTATGTATATATATAAGAAAATGGGTTAAGAGTTGGTACTAGGTAAATTGATTCCATAAGGAGTAAGGAAAAAAGAGAGAAAATAAATGACGTACAAAAGGAAGAAGAAGGAGGCATGACATTGTGGATATCGAGGAGAACTGCATTGGAGGAGGAACTGAAGAAACCAAAGGCTACGTCCAAAACAAAATTGTCAATGTCCATTCTCGCCTTGATGATTTAGGGTCCGTTTAGTTCTCTGATTCGAGTTTTTAATTCGAGTTGAGATGTGATTTTATGTTAGAGCTTTTTACTGTAGCAAAAAAGTTAGATGTGATTGTTTGTGAGAGCTTTTTACTGTAGCAAAACTCAAATTCTAAACTCGAATCAACGAAATGAACGGACACTCATGTGAATGAAATATTCGATGGAGTTTATTCTCATGTTGGCACACGCTTTATCGAGATTCGTGACTTTATTCAAGAAGGTTCCCATCAATTGAACATGAGAAGGACAGTGGCGGAGGGAGGTGAGGCCCAGAGGGGGCATATGCCCCCTCTGGATTTTTGATATTTAAATTTTAGTATATGTTTTCTCAAAGCCTTTTCATATATGCCCTCTTTATCAATAAAAATTTCAAATATATCCTCACAAAATTTAATCTCAAATTATTTGATTTCTTCATATTGTTCTTTTGATCTTTTCCTATTAAATCTTATATTTTTAAATGTACCTAATTGATTTTTTTTCTCTAATTTATTCTTATGAAAACAATTTTTCTTTCAAATTAGTCCCTTCTAAATTATTTTTAGATATAATCTAAGCTATATAAAAATGATCCATTAAAATATTTTTTTCTCAAAATGTGTCCCTAATTAAGAATTTTTTTTTTCCAAACAATCCTCTCAATTATGACTTTCTCACACATACATTTTCTCTAATTTGCCCCCGTTGAAGTAATATGTATTTATTCATATGTGCCCTATATACTTAAAGATCTTTTCTTGTACCCCTTCTGGCACTTGCAACAACTATTTTCTCATAGCTATTATGTGCCAACTAAATAGTTTTTCTTATCTAATTTTCTTGTTAAAGTATTTATTACTCAAGTATGTTTAATAGTCTATACATATATACTACTCATCCAAAAATATTAGGAGTTGATTTTATTAGCATTTTTACGTTTTTAGTTTACGCCCCCTTCTTAATCAAAATTCTGGCTCCGCCACTGTGAGAGGATATTGTCAACTCCTTGAAGTTGTAGTTGAAATCATTTGTTCATCTTAATTAGTTGTTTTTCTGTTGATGATAAAAAGGAAAGAAGCTGTATTTGCACTTTGGTAAATTGCTTTAGTTGTTGAATTAGAAACTTTGTACTTGTTGACAAAATCCAAGTTCCTCAAATTTTCATCCAACATGTACAAATTATCCTCACCTAGTCTTGGATTATATAAGTGAGAGTTTTATTAAATTCTTGTTTTAATTAATTTTGTTCTCAATGCATACGCATTTTGATTTTACAAAATTGTATAAAATGTTTACAAAAGTTTTCTAAAGGGATGGAAAGTATTTAAACAAATTTGTTAGGTAAACCGGTGAATTAGTTCAGTCAACCAGTGGGCTATTGGACTTTGGATTTACCAGTGCTCTCGGCCTTTGTCTGATCGACCAGTGGACGATGTACGGTTGTACTGATACTATTAAAACGGCCATAATTATAAACGCTGGCCAGTGAGACAAAATCAATGTTGTGACGAAACTATTGCAAATGCTCCAAATTTGTCTCATGCTTCTTCAAAGCAAAACTCTACCATTTATTTATTCTTTGATAAACTCTACCATTTATATTCAATCATACGTTGGAAAGATTATTGAATGCTCAAAACTTTCATATCCAAAATCCAAGATTGTAGGTTACCGAACGCTTAAGAATTTGGCGTGGAAAGAATTGTCGACATCATAAGTTAAATTTGGCGGTTCATGTAAAGGGCTTGGTGATACTTGGGGAAACAGATCAACATTTGTACTTGGAGAGATTTTGAAAAGAAAATCTCTCCAAGAAGAATGATATAATGGAAGAGATCAAGTAGCGATGTTTTAGCAATAATAGATCTAGGCGTATTGCTGAACCTTTATAGAATTATGCTTATACTCTCTATCTCTAACTCATCAATTATTCTAATCTCTTATTTTAGGTGTTGTTTGATCAATTGAATTAAATCTATGTGAGTTCAAAATGATAACAAGTTATTATATATAATGTGATTAAGTGATTTATTAACATATTAAGATTTGGCATTCTGAGCACTTTTGGTCACTTGAAGATTTAGTTTAATTTTTATTGTTTGTCTAAATTGTGTGATTAAAACACCCTTTCAAATAATTATATAAGTTCAAAAAATTGTTGTTTGGAGAGTTGTGGAATTTTTACAAATCATGGCCTATGTGCGATTTCTAGTATACATAATTTATAGTAAATAGCATTTTTATGAAATTAGATTAAGTAATTAGTAGATTTTAAAATATTTGAAGTAAAAAACAGTAAAAAGACATAACTTTTCTATTTAGGACTATAAAAAGATCTTTTACTATGTAAATTTTTATTTACAACTCATAAAAAGATTTTTTAATCATATAATTTTTTAATTATTACTACTTACTTCAAATAGTTTTAGTTTTAAAATCTATTATTCACTTAAATTATTTACCTTGAATATGCTCCCCTTGTGGTATTACCCCTATGGACTCTAGTATATATTCAGGCTCTTTGTTTCCCTCAAGCCGATAGGCCCAAATACTTTGAATCTTTTAATAGTTGGGATTACTCCAAAATTTCACATTTATTTTCACTTTACCCCTTAATTTTTTAAATATTTTACTTTTCCTCCAACGTTTGAATTATCTTCACTTAACCATTCCATTACAATACTCATTGAAAACAATCAATATGGAATATTTTAAGAAGTAACATTTTCAAGATTTTATGACCCTAGAATAGAAAATTGGCAAATTATAAAGTGGAACCCCTCAAATACTTCCACGGTGAAATCTTTGCTTCTGATCGTTTGATTAAATTTTTAACAGTTAAATCTACGCATGCCCATATCAAAAATTTATAGCGCATTGCATATATCTGTTCTCTCTAAAAATGACCGTTGAAAAAGTAATTCAACTGTCAAAACAGAGGCTCCACCGGTGGAAGTTTTTTTGGGTTCCATCGGCTGCCAAAATTTTAGGATTTTCATCTCCTTGGCATTAGTGTCATTGTTTAGCTTTAGTTTGCTGTTAACCAAAATTCTAGAAAATTGAATTAAGTGAGACTAATTTTAAAATTTGGAGTACTTCTCAAATATATATATATATATATATATATATATATATATATATAATACGGAGAAGTGATGTCAAAACTTTTAATATCAAAAGAAAAGTGAGAATGTGCATATGGGTGTAAAGTTTGGGCACAAATGGAAATAACCCTAATAGTTAGTACACGATCATGAATATGATCATCTCGTCTTCCTCCTGCATATACAATATGAGTCTCTAATCTATCGTACAACGCTCTCACAAAACAGTACAGTACTTCCTCACACCAAAAGCCAAGGCCTGGTTTAGAATTGATCTCGTTTTTATTTTTTACATTTTTTTAAAAAAGAAAAAATGAAAACTTTTTTAAAACAACGTTTGATGCAATAAAGATAAAAAATAAAAATGAAAATAATTTTTTAGTTTAGTGTAAAATGAGAGAGAAATAAAAAATGACTTTTAGTCGTTTTTTATTTTTTATTTTCGTTTTCTCCTCTCTCGAGCAGAGAGAGAGATATTACTGAGTTTTTTATACTGAAAATATTATCTTGATAAAAATACAAAACGCATTTTTAAAAATGATTTCTGTCTGAGATTGAAAACGTTTTCATTTTCATTTTCATACAAAAAACAAAATCATTTTGGAACGAGTTTCAAACGTTCCAATACTTTTCAATATGTTATGGTCTCGTTCATTTCACCAATTCGAATTTTCAATTCAGTTTTACCATAGTTAAAAGCTCCCACAAAAAATTACATCTAATTTTTTCTGCTACAATAAAAAGCTCTCACATAAAATAACATCTCAACACGAATTGAAAACTCAAATTCGTGAACTGAACAGATTGGTCCTATTGACTAATAACCTTATCTCCAATAAACTCAACAAGAGAAATGATAGCGAAATTTTTTCTGTCACTTTTTTTGTCATTTTTTGCATACACTGTGTAAACTGTTTTACACGTGAACTTTATTAACATAATATGTTATTATTTAAACAAAAAATGAGACAGTGAAGTGAACACAAAAAGTGACAAAAATGATAACAAAAAAAATGACACTATCATTTTTCAACTCAATATATATCTATGTGTCACCCAAGAAAAAGATTGGAATTATAATTATGTAAAAGAATCCAATCCGTCTACGTGATGTCATTTGGGTATAAACTTACATAACCAAAGAATCAAAATGGAACTATCGTGTCCATGTCTAAGATTGGCAGCTTGTCAATTTTTGCTTTAATTTTTTACTTAAAAACGTGTTGTTCAAGGTTTGCTCTTTGCATGACCAATGACGAGGGCCAAAGATGCCCTAGTAAAACTCTTTGCAAAGTTTGCATGGAGCAATAGAAGAAGCTTCTCATGAAGAGTGAAGAAACCTGTTTTTCATTACAGAAAAAATGGAATCAGCGTGGCGAATTTTGAAGAAGCTGAGAGAGGAGAAAAACTGGGGATGTACTGATCTCCTCATTCGTTATAACTTATACGCGACAGAGAAAAAGAAAGAGAGAGAGAGAGAGAGAGAAAGGGTGTTGCTAAAATTGTCATTCATTAATCTCTTCGATCACCGTTTGGGAATCAATTTACCCCTATTTTTTTCCCAAAAAAAGGAAGATTAAAAAAAAAAAGTCAAAGAAGCCTATAAAGTCAACGGGTGAGCACTAACAAACAATCAATCAGGTGGTCCTCACGTGCACAACTGGCTCCTGATCAGGTACTCGTACTTGTCAACGGCGCTGGTGGGGACCGCCACCATCACCCTCACGGCGTCTTTCTGATCCGTCACCGGCAGAAACAGGCAGTACCTATCACAACATATGGGCCCCACGTGGGCCGGCCTTCCCATCCCGAAGTCAACCCTCTCCAGGCCCAGCCTTGACCACTGCGACACTATCAGCACCCCCACCGGATCCGGGCACGTGCCGCCGCTCGCCACCGCCTCCGTCACCGCCCTCACGCGCTCGTTCCCCACCCTCTCCTTCGCAACCTTCACCAATCCCGAGGCGTACGACAACCCTCTCTCTGTCAGCTCCCTAACTGTGCTGACGGCGCATCCCAGAACGAACGCGTTGCCGTAGTAACCCGGCGGGAGACTCGGCCTGACTCGGTTCCGTACGTTGACGCTGAAAAGAAGCTTCAGTACTTGGTTCGGTGGTAGGTTCAATGCCTTGGCCCAGCTCCTCCACACGTGCGCCGTGAGAACCTCGAACGACGTGAACGATAAGTGGGACCCACCGGCGATATTCTTCAGCTCGAAGAGAGATCTCCTGTTGAACACAAACGACGTCGGAACGAGTCGCTCGGTCGAGAACCGAGCCATGAAGTTGCAATGGTCCAGGACCGAGTCGAACTCGGGGAGATGAGTGATGTTATTATAGGGCCGTGGATGCGGGTCCAATAGGTGGCGGGCCCAGATGGGCCTCGGTTTGGACTCGGTCAACGACTTTTTCCCGACTGCCAACTCTGCGAGCAAGTTGAGAAAATCGGCGCTCCCGATCCCGTCGCAGATGCAGTGGTTGAGGCCGACGCCGAGGGCGACACAGCCGTCGCGGAGCAATGTGAGCTGGACGACAAGCGGTGGGGCCCCCATGAGAACGTCCGCCACGTGTACGGAGAGGAGCTTCCGCCAGCTGGCCACGTTGCGTGGGGCCCTCTCGAAGTCGGACACGCTGCGTTCCGATACGGCCTCGATGAACACCGCGCCCTGGGCCCGGCAGACGACTTCTAAAACGCCCGAGCCGTCGGGGTTGGGCCGGACTCTCCCGGCAAGCGGGTAGTACGGGACCAGGGCCTTCGATAGGGCCGACTTGACGCGGGCCGCGGCGGAGTCCTGGTCGGTTCCGGGCCGGGCCTTATAGATGAGGAGGTACTCGATGGTGAAGCGAAGGAAGAGTTGGGAGTCAATGGCAGAGAGAGTGAGATTATGAGATGGAGTTGGTTCCGATGGAGTCACCACCACTGCTTCTTTGATGCGCTCGGAGCTTCCCATGATCAACTATTAAGAGAGAGAGAAAGAGAGAGAGAGTGGAGAAAAAAATGAGTTGGAATTTGGAGGGACGTGGCTTTGTAAAGAGGTGGGTTTTGGGTTGGTTGTATTATAAGAGAGAGAGAGAGAAGAGAGAGAAATATAATTGTACGTTTTGTTTTCGTATTATTATTGGTGTAGTGATTATTGATATTATTGTAAGGTAGTGACCCATGTGTATCTTTTGCTGTGTCTGAACTGTGAAAGATTTGTGCCAAGATTCTCCGGGCATTGCTTTATGGAAAAAAAGAAAAATTATACAAATTTTATGAAAGACCAGAACAAAACAAATAATAATAATAGATTGGCTTTGCTTTCTGTCTGTTCGGAGGGTTAAGGGTGTGTGTGATAGCTAATCTTAATAGTTACATGATCTTATTTAGTTTGTCAATTTGAATTTTTAATTTGAATTAAAATATAATTTTATATAAAAGTTTTTAACTTTAACAAAAAAATTTAGATGTATCTATTTTTAAGAGCTTTTAATTATAATAAAATTAAAATTAAAAACTAAAATCGGTAAAATGTACAAGGTCTAGACTCCGTTCATTTTACCGATTTGAGTTTTAAATTTGAGTTTTGTTATAGTAAAAAACTCTCAGAAACAATCACATCTAACTTTTTTACTATAGTAAAAAAGCTCTCACATAAAGTCATATCTCAACTCAAATTAAAAACTCGAATCAGTGAATCTCAATTCAAATTAAAAACTCGAATCAACCGTAATATATAGGGCTGGCAATATGGGTCACGACACGACTCGAAAACAACACGAATTTTGCGGGTTAGGGTTGAGAAAAAAGATGTTCGGATCAGAATTGAGTCGACCTGAAATTGACACGAAAAACACGGCTTAATTTTGAGTTAGACCCGTCTAACCCGAACACGACACGAATTTTGCGGGTTAGGGTTGAGAAAAAAGAGGTTCGGGTCAGAATTGAGTCGACCTGAAATTGACACGAAAAACACGGATTAATTTTGAGTTAGACCCGTCTAACCCGAACACGACACGAAACTCGTAAAAAACTAAAAAATACATATATTTTTCATTTCATATTTTAATTTTTTTTTTTATGAACTTGTGATATCATGATAGTTATAGTCAAAATCTTATACTATTATTTGCTTAATTTCAATGGATGTTATTGTAATTTAGTGTGTTATGAATTTTAAGTTATTTCTAGTATGTAAAAAACTAAATAAAAGTACACAATTTTTGTGTCAATTTCGGATTCACGGATTAATTTCGTGTCACGAGTCATTTTCGGGTAGTGTCATGTTAACTCGCAAAGTGATCGTATCGTGTTCGTGTTGTGATTTTTAAAAAATTTTATGTCACGAATCGTGTTCATATTAACTACAAATTAAAAAAAATAATTAAAATATAATATGTGACACGAATTGACACCCTGCCCCGTTCACTTTGTTGATTCGAGTTTAGAATTCGAGTTGAGATGTGATTTTATGTGAGAGCTTTTTACTGTAACAAAAAACTAGATGTGATTATTTATGAGAACTTTTTACTGTAAAAAAATTTAAATCAGCGAAATAAACGGACCTAATATATACTCTCACTCTATTTCTCTCTCTGAGCTCAGTATTTACGCGGTGCTTTTCATGTTGTTGGTTTTGTTTTTGCTCTTTCTTTTTTTTTTTTTTTGGGACAAAGAAGTTGATGGACGTGGATGCTGATACCTGTCTAGTTCATGTCTGTGGTATCTTTTAGCAAATTAGATTGATATTAAATATTGTGAAGAGTGCATGGAAAAATTTGTGTGGATCAAGATTATCGGAAGGGCCTTTTTTTCTTTTTTTTCTTTTCTTTTCTTTTTTTTTTTTCGATGGGGTCTATGAGGGGAAAGTTTTAGGAATTGGTTTTTATCCTTTTTTTTTATTCCTTTTTCTGTGTTGGACATTCCGTAAGCTGCAAAATAAAGCAGGATTGATTTGGAACGGTATTTTAGGAAGATGCACCCCTTGATATAAAACATTACATTATTGTTTATGTGGAAAGGGGCCAGGATGTCGATGGACCCATGAAGCTACTTTGTTTGTACTGCCTACTTACCTATTATATATATATATATATAGGCCATATAAACATGCAAGTTTGTCAAGAATAATAATTATCTGTCGAGTAAGGCTACAATACATGTTACAGTTTAAAAATATACGTGTAATCTAAAAATCTTTTGGGCTTATTTTTTTGAGCGAAAAATTCAAAAAAATACAATTCGAGTTATAATTTTATTTAAATTTATATTTTTTTAAGTTTAAATTTGAGTTTAAACTCGAGTTTATGACTAAAATTCGAGTTTAAGTTTCCCCTTCAACTCGAGTTTAGAAACTCAAACTCAAATTAATGAGCAATATTTTTTTTATTCTTAAAAATGTTATAACTTTTTCGTTTTAATTCTGATTGAGATGATTTTTTTTCTATGCGTTGACATTGAAAAGAAGAATAAAACCTGACCCATATACCCTATTAAAATTTTTTATCAGCATTGAGTTTTTATTAAAATACTATCTGAATACAAATTCAAGTTTTGACTCACTCAAACACAAACTCAAAAAGATTCTTATCTCAAACCATAACTCAAATGTATACAACCAAACACAAGCTCAAGTTACAAGTTAAACTCAAATTATAACTTAAATTCAACTCAAGAATTATACTCAATTTAAACTCTAAAAGAACAAGCCCTTTATTTTTTTAAATGATGAGGATTAGAAACAGTTTGATCCTTTTAAAATTTTCTACCTTTAGATCTTTAATTGTACGTTCGGAATATCCGTTGCTATGTATATTTCGTAACATTAAATATAATCAAAATCACCTTTAAATAAATAAATGCAAAACTGACAGAGTCATGCAAATCTGATTATTACAAATAGTAGATAGATGAACTAATTAAGGCAAATATCAATATGCAATAGGTAATTTTTGAGAAGATATCATTAACACGCAATTTACGAGACGACACTTTTAATGACGTCTTTAAATCTTCCACTAATTTTAATGATGGTTTTTAAGAACCGTCTCCGGATTAAGAGTCGTTTAATGATAAATTTGTTATAATTTTGACGGTTTAAAATAAAAACCTATTATTAAGTATTTTTTAATACATGTTGGAATCAATCGTACTTCTATGCAACAATCTTAAAGTCACAATCAAATCTGGTTCTTTGCTATCTTGGAGATGAAACTCAAATTGTTATATATGATTCTATGAACTAAATGAATTCATACTAAAGCTTTATTCTAAATGAAAATTATATAGGAAGAAAATCATGCTAAAGGACAAATAATATAACCGTATGAAAAGGATCAACTAAAGGAGATGAATTAACACCTTTAAAAATTTGCATATGTTTTCAAAATAATGATTGATTGTTATGATGAGTTGGCAGATGTTTTGATAAAATTAATGATTTGGTAGATCTTACATATCTTGGACAGTCACCCGTTTCAATCTTTATTATTTTTGAATTTTTAAGAACATATTAATTAACAATGCTTGGTTAATTAGTATATCCATAAAAAAAATGTAGCTCTTTTTATTTCTTTTCAATAGTACTCCTGATTAGAAAACTTTATCAATCTAACAAGCACAATTTAGTATAAAATATATATCGTCAACCAATAAATAAACAGTAAGATTTTCTCGGTGGGCTATCCAAAATAATATCTGTTATATTTAATCTATTCATCTATAGTCGTTAGAGAATACAATTCAGAATTGGGATGCATGTATTAATGTACATTATCAAAACATAATTCAGGAATTAATATTAAAGTAAAACTAATTCAACTTAATGTGAAATCAATTTCCTTAATCATAATATATATATATATATATATACAGAAATCAGGATCCTGGAAGCATCAAAATAGCAGGTGGTACCGAGACACGCCTGTGCCTGACGTGACACTGGACCCCATTTTTTTTATCGCACGGTGATATGGGTTCACACTAATAAAGCATCTGATCTACCATGGATTTTGCACTTTCCGAAATTCTATGTTCTAACTAACAATTGGATGTGTTGTATAACAATTATTAATTAGCTTAGACTAGCTCCAAGAATATGTATCAATGTTTCTTTGGTTTTAATTTCTCCGACTCAGAGAATATTGTGTGTGTTTACCTAAGTTATAAAATGTTTCTAGCTTTCTTTTTAAAAAAAAAAAAAAAAAAAAAAAAAACTGTGTACTGTTTTATTGACTATGCATGGCTTGACGTGAAAGACTTACAAAATTTTTCATTGTTTGTATCCTGACAGTTTCATTTTGCTAATTTTTTTTTTCTAGTTTAATTAATTTTGTTGGAGTGCATGGGAAAAGGACAAAAGGTACATGAAAAATAAATAAATAAATAAATGAACATGTAATTAGTAGAGCAACTATTAAGGGAACAAGAAAAAATGCGAATAAGAATTAATACTACACTTCTTTTTGGTAAGAAATTAATACTACGTACTTCTTTAGAAAATACAAGCAGCTGCTTGGAATTTTGATAATGATCGTGCCCCTAATCAGATTAAAGTAGTATATATATGCTTAATTTCAAGAATTTTAAATTCTCTAGGAATTATATATGTTAGTTTTGTAAAGAAGATATTGTCCCCTGGTGTGTGGAATATGATATACATAGGTAAAAGCAGAATCTGAGCACTATATATATATATATATATATTCAAATTTTCATATATAAAAAAAAATTGATGTGATAGGGTTTAGGGAGGATATATCGTTATGTCTCCTACTTGGAACTTAAATCATTTCACAAAGACAATATTACCTTCAAATTTCCCTTTATTCCTCCGGCAGATATGGACTACGGAGCAGTACTACTGCATAGACTTTGATGACATTAAAAACACACACACACACACACACACACACACACATATATACACCAGATTTGGCATCGATTCGAATATTGAAATTTCTCTAGGTATCCTAATTATAAATATTCTTCATATATAGTTCCTCTTACTTGATTGTTAACATCTTTTTT